GAAGCCGGGGGAGGATGGCTCTCATCGTCCTCCTCGGGAGGATCCATGCACCAGCCGGGAGGAAGAGGAGGAAGCACGGGAGGAAGAGGAGGAAGCACGTGCTGGCGGCTCCCTTCTTCTCTTCTCCCGCCGCTCCTGCCTCGCCTGGGAACTTGGGAATAAGAGTCTCCAGGAGAAAGCTGTGCTGGGGATGCTGCTCAGAAACACGAGCCCCTCGCAGGTGAAAGAGAAAACCTTGCTGATTATGACTATTTTCCCATTTTCCTCTGCCTTTTCCAATCAATCTTAAAAACACACAAACTAAGTAAGCTCTTAAGCATTGCTTGCACAATTTTTTTTTTTTTTTTAATACGAACTCTGGTTGGAACTCAAAGATCTTTAAGGTCCCTCCCAACCCAACCCATTCTGTGATTTTCTCCCCATAAAAAGAGCAATGCACTAAAATGGCTCTGGGCTCCGGGCACCCTCCCATGAAAGGCTGGGGAGCAATAAAGCAAAGAGCCCATCGCTACCCGGGCCTCAAAGGTCCCTGCCAGGCTCTTTGGCCACGGAAGCAAGGACCTGACCAACAGACCAGACCTGCACGAGCAGAGCCCTGGATCCCAAATGCCAATGAGAACCGGACAAAGCAGCAGCACTTTAAAACCAGACATATCCACGGCAGCGCCTCTCCGCTCAGCACCGCGCGGTTTCCAGGCCACCTCTCCCTCCTATGGCCAGCAGCAGCGGCTCCCGCAAAGCTCTGCCGCAAAACCCGGGCCCTTTTTTTTGGAAGGGGAGCCGGGCTGCCCCGCGCTCCCCACGCTGCGGACAGGCTCGTGTCTCGGAGGCACGCACCTCGGCGAAGCAATCATGAAATAAACAGCAGAAAAACCTTCATTTAGCTACTGGCGTCCTGTTCCAACCAGCTCTGTGTCCATCCAATCAGAAAAGATATTTTGGTTTTGTTTTTTTTTTTTCCCCTTGTTTTCTCCAAACCAAACCATTGCATGGCTTTTTATTCCAGGTAACACCAGCTCAAACCCACCAGCTATAACTCAGCTTTAACAGAGAAAGCGGAGCCGGCTCTGCTCCGTCAGCTGGGAG